AGTAGAAGTAAAAGTTATGCAATACCAAGATGAATTAGAATCTGGTAAAAGAGCATTAAAAGGTGGTTGGAATATATATCAACAAGTGGAACATTATAGACGTAAACTACTCAAAAAAGTACAAAAGTCTCCAGTAAGTTTATCAATTTCTGGTAATTTTTTTCTAACGTAGAATATTAGTATAAATGGATATTTTATGGTATTATCTGGGTTAACTTATAAACCGTTGCAATCGATGTATTGTATAATTCAACTTATTTTTTTGTGGTAATTTTTAGTCATATAATTGTTTGAGCTTACTATGGGTGCATTTTGCTGTTTTACTCACATGAATCCCTGTACTAAAAATTTGTGGTAAAATCTAACATTATAATGCTTAAGAATTGTAATACATTTTTAATAAAACTAAAATAAATGTATATTATTTATATTAAATTTTACTTAGGAAATTTTAAATAGAATATGTCCAAATATATATAATTTTAATTAATGAAATACAATTTTGTTAAGATAACTTACTGGAATGATAATTTTTTTTTTTTTTTTCAGGAAAAGGAATTGAAATTTGAAAAAGAAAAAAAAGATAAAGACAAAGACAAGATCAATAAAAGATTAAGTCCTGATGAAGACTATCGTGACGGTAAGAAAAAGAAACGATCTAGAAGTCCTTCAAATAGTCCTGCGTATAGTAAATGGTCATCTCATAGCATAAGGTAAATTTCAACAAATTGTATATTCTATTTTCTGTACTTAAAGGATCCCTTGTGTTATTCTAGAAGTGATAGTTTAAGTCCTCCGTCAAGAAAAAGACCAAATTCACCACAACGTAATAATAAAAAGACAAGAATATCACCAATTGATTCTCCTCGTTCATTATCAAGAAGAAGGGACCGTGAACGTGATGAAAGGCACAGTTATCGACACAAAAGATCGCATTCACGATCACCTCATCGGCATCATGTCCGTACACCTCCAACACCAATGTCACATACATCACGAAAGCACAAACACAAATATTGATTAAGAATATTTTATGTGAACTGAATAATATTTGTCATGTTATTCCTATATTTATATACAAACAAAACTTATAAATAATTTGACTAATGATTTTGTCAATTCATACAATTATTATTCAATTTTAAAAATATAATAGATTTTATTAATCAAATTTATTTCATTATAAATATAACAACTTTGACTTTTATCTGTCAATTTGTAATCAAATTTTATAATGATTTTTACTAAGATATTTCTATCATTGTGAATAGTGATTGCTCCATTTAATTTTTTTCAACCTAAAAATATTAAATGGATTTATTTAAATAAAGTACTATATCTGTATAAATGTGTTTAAAACCATACGGAGAGGTGAGCAAGTGAGTTCTGCTCTGCTGTACATGTGTTGTATTGGCAGTCACTGTAGTGGATATATTTAATTTTAAAAAGCTAAGACAGTTGGTCAGTGTTTATTCATACATAATATGTTTAAAACTAAAGGCTATATTACTAATTATAATTTAAGACATAATTGCCATTAAAGTAAGTTATTTTAGTATCAGTAATACATATACATAATAGTATTTAAAAATGACATTGTGTGTCAAAAATATGATAATATAGGTACTTTAAGGTTTTATGTACCCACAAAAAATATATTTAAATTAAAACAAAATAACTAATATTTTTACAACATGAACTAATTGTTAAAACTCTTGTTATAAGCATTTAATCCTCAGTTATAAATGTTTAACTTCAAAATATTTTGCAATTTTTTAAATTGAAATGGATTTTCCATGGATTTTTTTTGTTTCTGTTCTTAAACTAGAACCAAAATGAAAACATACAAAAATAAAATAAATTTCTACAATCATATCACATTGATTATAATTATTATTTATTCATTGATTCTTTTTCATTTATACAAAATCTTATTAAAAACCATTTAATATCATTTAGGTTTAATGATCTTTAATATCATTATCATAACAAAATAATTAAACAGCCAATAACTTATTTCTATAATAGTGTCTAGGGCATAAGTATTCAAACTTTTTCATCTCACATTTGCGTTTTTGCAAATTATACATAACAAAAAAAAGACAATATTTATTATTTATATTAATAATTTATTTATCATAATATGACATGTAGAAACAAAAACTATAAATATTTAATATTGGTTTTCAATTATAGGATGCGGTTCCCTTCGACAACTGCTGCGTTGCACAGTTTGATTAACCCGGGTCTAGGGTATTATGTATCCCCATTATCATACCCCCCTCCCATACTTTAACTATGCTATACGCAAAAAACTCATTTAATATGCAATTTTTTAAAATTAATAAGTAATAGAGTATGTATACCTCTACAAAAACAAAAATAAATGAAATTTTAATATTTTAATTTAATTATTTTAAAAAATTTTTCAAAAAGATCACATACACAATATGTTTATTTCCATTTACCACCTATAGTTAATAAACACCTATTGAAACCTGCAACACATGAATGCATGATAGGTCAATGGTTGTTCCAACCACTGGGCTATGGCACAGGAATCCGGAGAATAAAATCCCCGACCCTAGGAAAAAAATCCCCAGATTACATTATTAGGTACTCACATAAAAATTATGATTTATATTAATATTATTTTACAAATAGATATATTTTATATTGTACTTATCATTCAAACAATTATGATATAAATGTATAATATAATACCATGAAATAATATATTGCGTTTTCTAAAACATTTTGGCAATAATGTATTATGAATTACAGAATAAGATATTAAGATATAAGAACATTAAGAACTTCAAAAATTCAATATAAATATATAAACAATCAACTTCAATCCAATAACAAACTGTAATTATTATTAAATAATATGTCCGTGCGTATTATTCTTCAGAGGATGTCGGCGCCCTATCAGTTTTCTTTTTAGCCTACGCGCAACATAGACAAAATATATTTACTTAAAATCATTTTTCTTATGTTTTGAGTAATTGTTGTTAAATCTAATACTAATAGTGTCTCAACACAAATACACAATTTACACATCATTTTTTAAACTTACATTTTTAGATTCTGAACGGGTTGCGGAGTAATGAATGTATCGATTTTAGAATTTTGTGTCTGTGTACACGGTAAGACGTAAGTTGCAGAAATAATGCTTCAATTTTTAACTTCAATAACTTTTCCAGTTTAAAAGTGAATCTAGTTAATGCAATGAGGAGGTCAAATTTTAAAATTCTTAATAGTTTTCAAAAGCACCTGGAAAAACAAAAGAAGAATTAAGGAAAAACAGGAATTTTTATGCAAAATCAATTTTTTAGTAAATCAATTTTAAATATTGGTGTAACTCTAAAATAAATTACAGTAGACACTTGAAATTTTCACATTCACACTGATTGTTTATACTGGAATTTGCCATATTTGATAAAATCTTCAAATTATTTTAAATCTTTTAAAGTTATTTATAGACTTTTGAAAATGTCAATCACCTATTATATGTTCATTTTTTAGAAACATTACAATTTTATTTGTTGGTAAAAAACTTGAAAATTGAATACAAGGATCCTAATATTTTGTCACAATGGTAGTTAAAAAATATTAATAATGCATATTAAATAGTCACAATTTTTTTTAATAAGCGTTGAATGTTAGAATTTTGACAAAATGMGAAAAAATCACGACAATTTGCAATTCATTTTGAGTTATATATTCATAAATAACTTATATTTATAAATCTAAAATTTGAAAATTCAGTAAATGGTACTTTATAAGTTCGTCTACTTTTATCAAATATAAAATGTCTACCGGAAAGTCATTACATTTTTATGAACATTTGAGTTACCTGCAACATATTGGATACTCACTCAATTTCTTTTGTTACTCTTCAAAAACAAATAACTGTAGAAACTTTAAATTATATGTTAATGTTATCAATTCTTTTACTTGATAAAATTTTCAAAACATTTCAACAATTTCAACTTTCTTTTTAAGAGTATTAAATAAAAGAAGTTGAGCCTGTAGAGTAGTACGATCAAATAGAATGTGAAGAGGGTTCAGGGTATAGTCATTAGTTGGTATAGACTACATACATAGGTACATTTATATGTTTTTTTTAAACTTTTTATTAAAACACACAATCTGTACATTAAGTTTACAATAAGCATGTATGCGGATGTACATTTTTGGCATGCGACGCGTGAAGTGTTCAAAAAGGAGTAATTTAAACCAATTTTGATAGAGTGACTTGTTAATAAAATATACCCAATAACCCAATATGTAAATTATTAAATACTAAATACTATGGTCTATGTAAGTTTAAGTAACCCAGTTTTTAAGGATGTTAGGTATAATATATTATATAAACATGTATGGCTTGAAGCGAAATCCACAGATGTTATTCCAGCATAAATCAGACCGGGGTAGGTGAGTGAATGAAGATCAAATTAGATTAAACGTGGATTTGGTCAGATTATCGGCAACTTCGTTACGATGAACAATAAAGTATTCCAATATGACTGGAAGTATGGAAATCCGAACAAAGTGAATTATATGTAGTATAGATGGAAGTTGAAGAGTTAGAAATTAAGGCTTGTAGAATTGTAGCCATGACAATTTATGAGTCATAGGCTATTGAATAATTATTCGGTGCAAAATTTAAAATTATAGTTATTCAAGTTTAAAGTTATGCTAGTATGCTACATAAGTACATAACACTCGGCTGTGTCGCTATGAAGGAGACTACGAAGTACGAAGGACGAGGATTTTATACATAAAGTTATTTTTTGATGTTGGTATACTCTGTTTCTACTTCTTCCATGGTAACACCCTCGACTTATCAATGTAATAAATATATAGCAGGGACTAAGGTTTAATATATATATGTATAATACTGTATCTAGTACTATAATAGTATAAGTTTGTGATAAATAATAATAAGTATAGTGTATACGAAAGTTTAAAATAATTTTTGATCTGTATGTCTATATGTAATATTTATTGAGGTATTAACAAATAACAAAATTTATTAGTTTTATTGGTGTTTAATTAATTCAATGGACTGTTAAAAGAAGTGATTAACTTTAAATCAAATGGGCCAAAATTCTAGTCAATTCTCTGCTGAAGAGTTAAATGACTATCAGGTAATTTCAAACATTAATTTATTTTATGTATAATATATTAATATATCCCAAATTATATATATATATATATTAATGTGTATCAATTAGGGCTATTAAACATTTTATACAACTGTTGGCTATGGATTTATGTAATATACCTTTTTTTGATGTACATTTTAAATTGTATCACGTCTAAGAAATATTATTTTAATAAATGGTGCCTTGAGAGATAATCTATTTCTCATTGCATGTTAAGCTTATTTTTAAGGTATATTACATGAATGCATAATTTCGTGTAAATAATATAAGAATAAATAATGCAGTATATAGTATATCTACATCTAATAAATCTATTGGTTAACATTTTAAATAAATATTAAGTTTTGAATTTTTTGATATAGATACCTAAGTTATATATTTATTAACTGTAAAAATATTTGTTTTTATTTAAAACATTAAGAGGATAGTTATTATTTTGAATTTTATTTATAAAATATATTTATGCTAAGCTAACTCTAAATGTATATTAAATGCATACACGTACAGTTTACATGTACATTATAATTCATGTTTGTATAATGTTCAGTAGACAATCTTATATTATATTTTTTGTTGATACGATTTCTAAATCCAGAAACAAATCGATAATTTAATTTTTTATCCCATGAATATTTATAATCGAGATTGATACTTGTCTCGGATACTAAACGGGATAATACACGTCTTCAGAACGACAGACCTTATACAGAMTAGTAGAGTTAAACTGGGAAAGCGTAACTTCGAAGTTTGTAGGGTTGTTATAAATTAATAGACCTTAAAATAATATAATATATTATAATAATATAATAATACAATATACCGTATATTGTTCGGTGCTTATTATATAAGCACTGATTATGTACAATTTTATATGATATATTCTGTGGTATATTTAAATCATAGATATTCATTTGAAAATATTATAACATCTTAGGTGTATTATATATTATATAATAATAATATTATGTTACAAATACATTCGATTACGGCATAAACATAATATAGATAGATATTATGTCTATGGATTACGGCATCAAAATGTTATCATTTTGTATTATCAGTGTTATCTTATTACTCTATGAGGAGGCTACACACGCAATAATTAGTGTTCTCTCCGTCTATAAATGTACAAAATAAAACTTTTTTGCGCGGGATAGACTCTACTCAAGTTGTAGTGATAGCTAGGATTCGAAATTGATATGCAATATTTATAGTTGAGAACATTATCTGTGAAATATCATTTTTATTTTTTAGTTTTCTCTTTTCCGGTACCACAATTCTCCTTTTTAGATGGTGGAAATTTCGTTTTTCGTAGTACGAAGTTGTTGACAACAATGAAAACTCACGTGGGTGTAGTATCCTCTTAATAATATATTTTAAGGAATCAAATGAACATAATTTTAACGACCTTATTTTACTGTATTATATTACTTTCAATTTTTATTTTATATTCATTATAACATAATTAATTTTTGTTTTTAAGTAAAGTACTCGTATGTCTAAGCCTTATAGTATTTATCTATTATATTTTTCGAAAAAATGGATTTTGTTTTTTGTGCAACTTTCAAAAAAATTAATATGTTTATAATAGCAATTTATATTCACCGTACAATTTGCAAATATTTCGACTGTTTTCGAACTATTTTTAAGCATTTGAAAATTACGAATTTTAATTATTGACGATAAAATTTTTTTTATCCTTGTAAATTTAAGTAAAAATGTAGACAAAACATAAAAAAAATGTCTAAGACTTTACAAAATCCCCTCAAGTTTAATTACACTTTAAAAAAAGTTTACCAAATAAACCAGTTGATTTTTAACAGACATTTAAAATTAGAAATTGGATATTCACAGTTAACCGTTAGTTACACGTAAATTAATACATTTTGAAACAACGATTTTTTGATTTTTTTGTTTTTAAAAATATAGTAACTATAGTGGTACTTAAAATTTTAATAAAATGTTTATTTATAATATTATTTATGCATACAAGGTTTTCCAAACATTTCGACTCTTAAAGAATTATTTTTAAAAGTTTGAAATAGTAAGTTTTTATTCTAAAAATGTCAATAACTTTTTTTTCGGTAAGTTTAAATGCTTAAAGTTTTAATAGAAAGTTCCTCATAAATGATAAAAATAGCAGTTTATAAATATTAAAAATCTATAAGTACAACTTTTTTTCAGAGTATTTAGAGTTTAAATGCTAGCTTGTAAATGCACCTCCCTCCAAGAAATTAATTTCAATATACGCCTAGGGCGTCCGTGTTTTATACAAAATTGATGACTTTGTAAACTCTCAATGTCCATTATGATTTATGAGCAATTAGTATGATCCACAAGATTGTCTCTTGTACATACAATATAATACCACAATAATATATTCGAGGTCACTGAATACTGATAGAGTGATAGCTGTTCGTTTCTACTTTCCAGACCGTTATGCCTAGTTTACACGCTGCGCAGTACTTGTCATTATGCCTTGTTTACACGTGACGAGTACTCGGCCGTGTCACTCGTTATGTTGCTTGGTCTTGGTTGTGGGGGTAGTCACTCGGCCCAGCGAATAGAAACTGTTTCTGTTCACTCGTCCGATTACTAGCCACTAGGCCGAGTACTGGTTCCTTGAGTTCACACGGGACAGTGCTCGGCCGAGTACTCGTCACGTGTAAACAAGGCATTAGTGCTTGTCACTCGCACTATGACTAGCTACTTGTCATTAGTAAATAGAACGGCGTTCTATTCACTCGCACTCCCGGTTTTACTAATACTAAGCAGTAAGCACTATTTTTTCTGTTCACACGCAATGTGTGAGTGCGAGTGACAAGTACTACGCAGCGTGTAAACCCGGCATTATATCCATACGCCTTTTACACATGCGCAAAAGTGCGGGCTATTACGATCGGCGTTACCTGCGGTCTCCGGGAACTACTATCACGCCTGTATTATATTGTTTGTAGGTCTATAATAGTCTTTGTCTCTTTGATCACAGCTATAGATTTAATTGATATAACAAAATATTTCGGGTCCCGGGTATAGCTTGATGCGCAAGCGCGGCCGCAGCCCGCAGGGCATGCATTATTTGGCTGCCGGCGTCGACAGCTCTGGTCAGTGGTCAGTGGTCACCATAGATAAAATAATAAATAAAATTAAAGTTGGTATAGTCGCTGGCCTGTCGTGTAGCGTTGACGTTATCCACCAAACCACTTGGCACCGCTGGCGGGCGTCTGGCACCAGAGATTTGTGTATTGTGTGACGACTGACGATTCCTCACGGAAAGTCACGTGACTAAATTGACGAGCCCGCCGCGCTATCTACCAGCATTCAATTCAACGGAAACATTGTGTTTTATTACATTCAAATCATTAAATTTACATAATGTTATTAAATACTAATAATTTATAAACAAAAATTTAATATAATTATACCACGTTAGTTAATTACTATTTTTTGTAGTGTGGTTCAAAATGTGTTTATTAATGAAGCAATATATTATATTCACTTTCTTAAGAACGCTGCGTGTTGTCAGGGGTACCCGTGTAATAAATCATGCAAACTTCATAGTTTTGTGCTTTTGATTTTCAATGTTCGTTCATCAAAAATTTTCTACAGCCATTGCGAATTTGCGAATTAACGATTAGCGATTCGCGATTGACCTTTAGACGTAGTTAATATTTTTTTATAATACGTTTCGAATTTCGATTTTGAGTTATGGTATGAGGTTTAATCAGTGTAGCCATACTTTTAATGTTTTGAACTATTTACTGTGTATTATCCAGTACAAATTACATACCTAAACATATTATTTGTTAGTTTTACTTGGTTATCAGTGTAACTATAATATTCCAAAAGGGAATGTAAATAATTTTCATAGTGTCTACACTGATACTAGGATAAAGTTTGTTGCCCGCTTATTATCATTAAGCTTCCCGTATTCTCATTTTAAAGTATTTGATATTATATAGTTTCTCGTCGGACGTGTAAATATATTCATCGCGGTCTTTATTGGCGGTTGTTGCAAAAAACTACTCTTGTATGTACAAAGAACCAGCCATGGATGACAATCCACCTTTGAAGAATGGTGATCCCATGGAACTTTCCTCCGATGACATACTTGGTGTAATGAAAAATATTTCAATGGTCAAAAATGGCTTAATGTCTTATGAAAATGATACTGAACAAGTTGAAATTGGTAATAGTGATGCAGATGCAATGTTTTCTATTGGCGATAATGATTTAAGTTCTTTTGAAAGAGATCTATTGGATAATGTAATTGGAATGGCAGAAGAAGAAGTAGTTACTCAATACGATGAAACGCCTACAGTAAAAGAAAATTTCAACAAATACATGAACAAAGGTAAAATGTTGAGCGAACGACTTCAAAAAATAATATCAAAGCTACAAAATATACAACTAAAAACTATGAGCAAGTGCTCCACTCAAGAAATCTATAATGTTCTACAATCACAAAAAAGTAACGCTATCAAAAATATCAAATCAACATTGCTCAAAGTTCAAAAAAGGCAATCTAATCCATTTTTGAAGAGTTTACTTTGTGATGAAATTAAAGATGGTGAAAAGGTCTTCGGAATGCTAGAGTCACAAATTAAAACAGTGAATGAAGAATATGACTCGGAAGCAACAGCTAGTGATTCAGAAAGTGATACGTTAGGAGAAACTAGCGASGAAGAATTTCAATCATCTAATCGTCCTATTGAGAAAAGAAATGATTGGAAATGGCTTCATGAACGTGTAAGTATTGCGTATCGATTAACTTGGCTGGTTAATGTTATGTCTGACATAGAGTTCAAAATCAATTTTTATAATGAAGCATTAAATCGATATTCTTCTCATCCTTATGTACAAGACCAGGAAGAAGAATCTGGTAGAAGATGTTTTCCATATGARCCTAAAACTCAACATAGAATGTTAATGCAACCTCCACTCATAAACTTGGCTGCAGCTCTAAAAAAGGGGGACAAAGCAAAATTAAATCGTATTAATCCCTGTGACTGTTATGGGATTGATTCTTGTCCTACTTGTGTAAGTCTTCAGCGCCATTCAAATGATTCCGGCCATTTTTTGAGTGACACTTTTCATCCAGTTCTATCATATTCTAAAGATATTTCCTTAAGTGTTGCATTGTCTAATGAGTTAGGAAAATCATCTTTTCATCTAAAACAAAAAAATAAGTCTTCATCTGATACAGATTTTAATAAATATTTTGTGGACCGGACACCTGAACAAAGTCCTCCTGTGAGGCAAGTTCCACCTGTTAAATTACAAAATGCTTGGCCTACTCGCAATGATCCAATTACTAAATTCAATCGAAATCAAAGACAAGCTAGAAAAAGGAGGCGTATGCGTTATAGCAAGCATAAAAGAAGTAGAATGGATGAAGATTATAAATATAACAGTCGAAGAAGTAGTGAAAGTGTTTGTGACGATGATGATCTTGATGAGGTGTATGAAGAAGACAATTATGACTCTGATCCAGATTATAGCCCTTGGTTTCCAAGAACAGGAGATAAAACATACAATTCTAAACGTGAATATGATATCGACAACATTGTTATACCATACAGTATTGCTGCTGCATCAAGAGTTGAAATGGTCAAATATAAGGAAATAGTAACACCTAAGTGGCGCATTGTTAAAGAATTAGATGTAGATCCAGTTGAATTTGCTGCAACAATCCCAGAACCTGACGTTGTTGAAGATCTTGATGATGGAAGACGCAATGCTCATCATGAAGCATGTGAAATTGAAGAACGAATGAGATTCAGGACTATAAAGAAACAAACAGAGCGCACTCATAAGAATAGTGGGCATTGTAGTAGTGGTGAGAATACATCTGAAGCAATGTCACCACTATTTGAAAGTCGGTCCCCAATGCCTACTGTGGAAGAGGAACCTGATGCAGGACCTAGTAATCAAGATTGGAACCAATAAAATATTTTTATTAATTATTGATGAATAAATGTTGTATATTATAAACTGTAAAAACCAAAGTTAATGCTTTAAGTTAGTTTCACATAAAATTAATTGTCATATTTAGGTATATTTTTTTTATAAATTAGTACTAATGTAAAATATATTTTCTTTACTCGTTGTATTATACAAGTTGTATAGTAAAATATAGCCTGATAAATATTTACTTTTATTTTCAAAGTGGACAATTATATTTCATTAAGATAAATCATATTTTCTCATTTATTTTATTTTTAGGATCTCACTTATTTTACAAAAAAAGAAGTTTTGATGTAAGTACCTACCTATATAATAAATTATATTAAATAAATATTACTACGAATTTTGGGAATTTTATCATATATATCTAAAAAATAAGAGTATGTATAATACAATATTTAGTGCACATGAAAAGTTCAAGTCATTAGCTCCTGAAAAAGTGGGACATAATAAAAATGCTAAATTAGCTCTAAACAAGGTCCTTAAGCTACCTGAATTAGCGGCTAATCCTTTTGGTGAACGTATGTGTCAAGTATTCAGTTCTAGTCAGGATGGGGATTGTACATTTGAAGATTTTTTGGACATGATGTCAGTATTTAGTACTATGGCACCTGCTGATGTAAAGGCTGAACATGTCTTTAGAATTTTTGGTAAGAGATAGTATGGTTAATGTTGTATGGTATGCAATTTACACAATTTATTAGGATTTTAAATTCTAAAATATAAGTGTAGGATTAATTTATTATTTCTAAAAACTATAAAGCAATAAAAACATTTCATTAAAAAGAGGTTTAACCAGTATATTACTGGTTTTATGGTGCTGTTTAATATACAAGTTTTTTTTATAATTTAAGATTATGTTAAAATTATATTTATTTTAAAAAAGCTGGCTATCAAAAGTGCATGATATATTTTATTTCTGACTTGGAATATTGTTGAAAAGATTTTGAAATTGTTCTTCATCTTTAATTTATCAAATATTTTCTATGACTAAAAAATAGTTCAATCATCAAATATTTTAATCGATTTTTTATATATTTTAATCAAAATGTTTAGATTTTGATGGTGATGACATGTTGGGTGTTGGAGATATAAAAAAAGTAATTCAATGCTTAATTGGAGAACAAAATGCCTTTAATGATAATGATCTTAAACGATTGGTTCAAAAAATATTTGAAGAAGTAGATTTTGATGACGACGGCGCGCTTTCATTTTCTGAATTTGAACATGTAACTGACATGTGTCCAGATTTTGTTAAGTCAGTATATATTTCTTAAAGTATTATCAGTGCTTGTTTAAATTGTCTTGTTTGTATTTTATAAACATTGGATTTTAAATTTAAAATTTTTTTTTATAGTTAATATACTGTGTAAATTTGAATTGCATGGTTTTTACTTTTTGTTATATAAATATGCTTCCTTAGTTTAAGAAACAATTTTTTCTTAGATATTCACATTCATAACATCATTTGAGGATGAATGTGTTAATTTTTTAACCTTCATATGTTATAGACAGGAGTGGATTGCCCTATCGGGAAATTGGGAATCTCCCCGATGGGCCGGTTCTTGTGAGGGCCGCTTTAATTATTATAATATAATTACAAAAAAAAAAAAAATTATATTCAAAAACATAATCTAAATATTTTCAAAATTCCTATAATGAAAAAAAGTGTACAAAAATTGTGTTGTTTGCTGCTTTAATGTATATTAATGAAATAAAAGATTTACAGTGATGTATATTATCAACTAGCTCTAGGGTAAAAGTATCTACTTACGCTTCCTTTGACTCAGGTATATAAACTAGGTGGCTTGCAAACGCWCATTTTCAATTTTAAAAGTAATTAAAACTCGCTTGAGAAATACAATGAACGAATATAAATAAAGTTATTATTGAACTATTGAAAAACAAGAGCAAATTAAAACTGTCTATTTTTTTATACTTACTGTATGTATAATACAAGGTAATAGGTTTATTATGAACAGTTGGAGAAACAATAAAATGTATTTAGTATTTACCTATATAAAAGGATTAGAACATTAAATGAATGTTTAAATTGAATGTCTATTAGTTACAAAATATTTAATGATATTTTCTGTATAAATATATTTAAAAATTATAATAAGATTAAACTTCAGGTTCAAGTTAGAACAGTCTGAACAGGTTAACCTTATCTGACTAACCTAAAACTGTAAACATATCTTTAAATGATAGGTACCTAATATATTTTACTAATATTTACAGATGACTCTAAACAAATTTTGAAATTTGAGTAGAATTATGGCCATTTTTTTTCTTCAGTTGATGGGGGCGGGTTACATTTACAGTGCTGAGCCGGTTTGATCCATATTTCCTGAGCTGAAAAAATTTGCCAATCCGTCCCTGGTTATAGATCAGTGGTTCTTAATGTGATTATTAGAATTTTAAATATATTTTAGGGTGATATTCATAGGTATTTAGATTTAGTAAAATTAGAGGGGCTAAACCCTCAACCTTCCTACCTAGTTGTCTATGTCAGAAAAATATTGTAGGTACTTATAATTATGTTTATGGTATTTAATATGTATCACATATAGTATAATTAGTAACTACTGTTAAAGTATGTATAATTTTTGCTCTGTAGTAATAGTTGTACGGACCAAAGATTACAGAAAGTGGTAAAGTTTGAACCTATCTATTCATAGTTATTGGTTATCATTGGTTAGCTGCATCTTGTTATTATTACTGACTCATACATAGACTGACTATTATAAGTCCATATGCTCACATATTTCAAAATACCTTTCCTCAATCTCTAGAATCACAAATCTAATAGAATCTATAATAGATTGTCAGATGATTGATACACAAATTAGTATCACAGATTATATAAAAGGTTTTATATAATCTGTGTTAGTATCATGAGTAATGTGTCGATGGTTAAAAACTTAAATTCGTCGTCACTTAAAGAACTAGATGACTGAACAATTTTTGCTTATTTGATTTAAAGTTTATTTTTCTTAAAWTTTTTTTATAATTTAACTTTTRATCTTTTTTACTTATTTACTAGTGCCTCTTTAGTTGTTGCTTAATTTTGAATTTATTTTTTCATTTGACATAGTTTAAGTAAGTATTAGTGCTTAACTCATATGTGAGTGCATATTTCATAGCATTTTAGTGGTTTGAATTCCAACTTCTATTTATTAAGTTCAATTTTGTTTTAAGAACACTTTTTAGTTGCTATTATCTGCTGTAAAATATAAACATAAAACTATATCATATATCATCTATATAGTTGTGGTTATCATTAGAATTTGGGGTAGTATTCTGAATACTTTTTTAACATCCAATCACATCTTAAAAATAATTTTATTCTTTTTCCGTCATAGAAATTGTACTTGTATATTTTTATACTAAATATTTTATACTTACATATTATTTTGTTTTATACTGTTATTAGGGGGACAATAATGATATCTTCCAATTTTGTAGCAACGAGCTAGCGATGACGTGATATTATTGTGACTCAGGATTTCCTATAATAAGTTATTAACTAATGGGTGCCTATATCCTATTACAGTAGTCACTCGATAATTCAAAATTTAAGGTACCAAGTTTCAAATTTGATTTATAGAAGTTTTCGATTTACCGAGTGTTCGAATAATCGAGGGAAAAAATTAATTTAAATTTAAAAGAGTTGARAAATTGTATGTATGTACATGTTACATTAATTTATTATAAATACATATTATATTAAAGAAATTTGTTGTTATTTTTTTTTTCATGATAAATTACTGGCCACAATCTAGTGCAAAGCGTTGCCTAATTTACTTATGGCAAGATCTTGATTTGAATCATAGAGGTTGTGAGATAAAAATTTGAATTGTAGTGTGTCCCACCGACAGACATTTTGAACTATCGAGGGGACCGGAATACATGTATTTTTTTCTAATTATAGAGGTTTTCTCGGGAGACTTTGCGTTTAGTTCGATTTAGGGAGTTTTTTGAATTATCGAGCGACTACTGTGTATATAAATGTATAATCCTTTTTTCCCTCTCCACTGAAAATAGAACTGAATTTGAATATGATTTTTTCTTCTTAAATAATATCTTGACTTTATTTGAAAAATTACAATCTATAATACAGTATGTACAATAAGTAATAATAATTTAAAAACAGTTGATAACATAAACATGTGAGGAGGAAATCATATATTTGTGACACCTCTTAATATTATTAAATCTTAAGTTTTCAAGTCGTGGCACGTTCCTTTTGAGGCATCTGATTGGGGATTATAATTTACAACTAATAGATAACTGGATATATGTGTATTAATGACATTATTAAATGTTCATTAATAAACACTGAATTGAAAAAAAATATCTTTGTTATTGAGATCTAATAAAAAATCACTAATCTACTAAAAAAAGTATTCAAAAAATATTTGTAATCATTTTTTGAAGTAACTTGGGTATATTATTTTCATAAAGTATTCAAACGCATATCCTAAATACTTTTAAAAATTATTTTATCTAAGTCTGGTTATCGTTATAGGTAACTTTTTTATTAGACTTTATTTTTTCTAAATGTGTGACCAACTTCATTTTAAACGAAGATAAAGGTTGGATAAGTATAACAAGGTGAGAGTAATAAGAAAATAAGAAAAGAGAATAGATATTAGTGGAATTAGTTAATTATTATATTATAGTGATTAGTGAATGAAAGTATAGAGAGAGTGGAAACTTTATGGTTGTTATAATTGAGAAATCTATTCAATATGTCTTGGCTGGTGTGCTAGTACAAGTGGTGCAGTGTAATAATAAACTATGACATTGTAAAAGGAGGCCCCTACCATCCTCCTCTTTTTTTCAATTTAACAATTGAATGCAAATCAAAGTATTACATAAAGCACTATTTTTTTTTAAACTTTTAGGCTGGTTTTATGTGGTTTTAGATAGAAAATACATATACAAGGTGATCCATTTAAGTATGTACACAAATTAGATTGAAAAGTACTTTTTTCTAATTTTTTTAGTTTTTAGGTTTATGTTTTTTGAAAACCGTATATTTAAATTTTTTTCATCCTTATATTTATTGTTAAAACCACTATTAACTTTTGATTTTCAAATGGTAGCATATAATTAAATTATCATGWATTAATAAAATTATTTTTCGATATCATTGAATCCAATTAGTTCAATTTACTTGATAAATCAATAAATGATTAGGGTTAAAATTCTAAGTACAAATATTAATCTTTAATTAATTGTYATTTATTTTGTTACCTTGGATTTAGCAATACCAAATTTATTATTATCTTCTGGTCTGTACAGTTATTGGAAAAATAGTAAAAACCACCAATACTTTGAAGAGCTGTATCTCACAAATCGATCAATAAAAAATAAAAATGTCAACACGTAGATTCATGAAAAAAATGGTTATATTAATTTCTGATATTTTAATTATATATTATCATTTGAAAATCAAAAGTTTATAGTGGTTTCACCAATAAATATAAGGATCAAAATAATCAAAATATTATACGGTTTTAGAAAAACATAAACCTAAAAGTTTAAAAAACAAAAATTCAGAAAGGTTAATACTTTTCAAGATAATTAGTGTACTCATGGATCGCCCTATATAGTTAATTCTTTTGAGGTTAAATTTGAAATTTTCAGGATTTTTTTGATTAAGAAATACAAAATCAGAGATTTTTACAGATGTTTTCAATTAAAATTCGTATGAAATAAAATATGTGTACGAAAAATAAATTTTTTAGCTATTTTGTTGTAAATTATTTTAAAGTACTATTCATACTGTAACCAAAAAATCCGAAAAATGAATGCTATATATCTATAGTAGCTGCTATTAATCATTTGTGTATCATTATATCTTTATAGTTAAAATTCTTTGTATATACAATTGTGGATCCTCAGTGTCATTCCAATATTTAGCTGAAGACTATTATTAGATAGTTTCAAACCATTAATTTTACTTTTGTTGGAATTGTTCTCTTTTAGTAGTTTAACACACTGTTAAAATAGGAGGTTTATTTATTATGATAATAAGACTAAGTCGGTTCATCAAGGTTTATGTCAGCAAAGTTATTTGGTGAATTTATGGAAAATGTAGTTAAACAATTTATCAAAAATAAGATGATTGTTTAATATGTCAAGAATTTAGTAAGCAGTGTTTACTCGTTACTTGGAGAGAAATGTAATAAAGTTACTTTATTCGTTACTCTAATAAAATTACTTTACTTTTCAAATTGAAAAGTAACTCATTACTTTCTCATTAAAAAAAATAAATATTGTCATAGAGTTCAAAATTTTGAGTTCAGCTGTATAAGGAGCTTTAATAAATATATATAGTATATTACTATAGTYGATTGGTAAACATAATAATACCCGCATTATAGACATACTATTTTTACAATTCGCAAAAGGTAGGTACTTAATAATTCGAAACCGTAACGCGTTATTCAATAGAAATTACTTATCAAAAATAATTTTCCATTACATTTTCGTTACTTGGAAATAATTCTAATGAAATTACGTAACGCGTTACTTTTGTTACGTTACTACCCAACACTGTTAGTAAGGCTAGTTATGAAACCATTTAGAATTTTTAACCGTCGTTGATGTTGAAATTAACTGTAGATAAAGGTTGATTTGCTCCATGTTTTGCTCTATCACAAATTTTTCAATCATCAAAGAATGGAAGAGTATTAAGTTTTTGAGGTTTCACATATAGTGGTATGTATGGTTATTGCAAATAAAAATAATAATTAGCTGGACACGGAATGTAAAATATTAACAAATTATTAATAATATATCTAAAATGAAGATGATTTATAGTAAATATAGCATATAAAAAGAAACAATTAAAAACAGTATGAATTATTAACTAACAAAAAATAATTTGACAGTTAATGTCATTACTATAATTTAACCAAAAATTTTTTTTTTGTATTTTAAATTTATGAGTGTTACTAAATAATATATTTTATTTTTACAGGATGTTCAATATTAAACTTTAAAAAATAAGCTGAAAAAGAAGAATATAAGTTAAAAAATAGAATACCCATATTGAAAATAATTTTATGGACAAATTATACTTTATTATTATTATGTTTAAATTTTTATTTATTTTTTACAACATATACTTATAACATATAAGTCGAGTTGAGAATATTGATTGGCTTATGAAAAAATTTAAAATTAAATTAAAAATTAATAAGTTTTTYCAATGGTATTTATTTCTTATGACTTCAAGTATCCCCTGCAAAAGAATAAAAAATATTTGTTAAGAAAATAATAAACRATAACATATTAAGGGCCGTTCTTACAATGTCCGGTTAAGTGTCGGTTAAGACYAACCGRTAGAATTCTAYCGGTTAACTCATGATAAATTCTTCCGGTTAGTGTTATCAGGCACTAACCGAGCATTGTAAGAATGGCCCTAATAAGTTTATATTATGCCGTTAAAATGCTTTTAGATCCATAGATGCTTATATTTGTTGTTATCAAACATTTAACACCATCATAGATATATAATGTACAAAATGTCAAATGATATTATATTTTATTGTTGTAATGATTATTAAATAATGGCAACAATAATTATTTATAAAATTTTAAATACTTAATATCTGAGTTCTATCATAGATGACGAGACTTAAAATTTAATAAAAGATACTACAACAGGTAAGTCTATATACTCATCAGCTAAGGAATTTAAAACAAAAGCTTCATTTTTAAAGATTTTGTGTTGAACCCTTTTAAATTACACTCCCAAAAGAAAAATTAACAAGAACAAAAATTCACAAGATAGTCCATCAAGACCAATTCATTTAACAAAGCTCAATTAAGATAAATCTGCTTCAATATGACATATCAAACAGCAATTAATTTAGTTAGGTTGTCAATAACACTGTGTTCAATGTAAATATAACTATCAAAAATTGAAGCAAAAAAATTAGCAACCTCGTCATTAGTACTAAATACACTATTAAAATTTGTTTTAGGTATATTTGCAAGACTTTATTTATAACAAATTTCCAAAAAGTTATAAAATAATTAGTAAGACAAAATACGGCATATTCAATAAAAAAAATTGTAGACATTGATTTAAACTTTGAACTAAACAAAAAAAATTACCGCAGTCAAGGAGTTCAAGATGACATAGAAATAGCATGGGCTTTCTTTTTGAAGAAGACTATTTAAGTTCTTCCTAAACTGAAAAGTTTAGATTTTGTAATAAGATTTATAGGAATGAGAACAATATTTWATTCATTTTTAAATTAATTGTAGTGTTTTGRAAAAAAGTTAAAAAATATTTTTTTCTAAATTAATTATTTCCAAAAAAATTGTAGATAGCAATTTTATAGTTTATTTTTATGAAAATATCAATGTTTATTAGAAAACCAGAATTTTGATATCCCCATTATTTCGGGAGATATCCCAATGGGTAATCCTCGCAGGACATCCTATACAGGGTGTCCCAAAGAGATCTCACATTTTGACGAATGAAATAACTTTGGTTCTAATCAATATTTTTTAAAAATGTCTTTAAAATATAA